CAAATATTACATTCATTTATAAATTAGTCTTTAAAATAGCCTTTGAAATGAGGGCATGATACTCCCACCTTCATTGCCTAATAATAAAGCAGGTACAGAGAAGTTAAGTAAATTGCTCGAAGTCAAGCAGCTGGTAAGGATCAAAACCAAGATTTCATCCCAGATTTAGCTGACTTAGAAACCCACATCCTGTGCGCCACATCAGATTGGTGAGATAGTGTCCTTAATTGGCTGTGTGATTTTGCACAAATCAATTGACCTCTCTGGGCTTCAGTATCGTCATCTGTTAAGGCAAAGGATGTGGTCTGCATGTCTGCTGCTCTTCCCAGCTTGAACCTTCTATGATTCCCCATGAGAGGCCTGGAAGCCTCATCGGTAATTATTGATCCATTGACAGATCAAAATAAGCACTGGGTTTTTAAAGTTAGACTTTAATTACCAAGCCCCCTTCTTTCAACTAAATAAGAACTATCCTTGTAGCAGAGTCTGGCTCCTGTACTAGGATGTGAAGTCATTTCTAGCCGGACATTGTTCTGCCTGGAGCAGGGTACTTAGGGTCAGCACAATGCTGTGGAAGGGCACCATGCACAGGAACCCAGAGTTGCCACCAGCTATGGAAAGATTGGAGCATCCACTCTGCCCTGGGGCTAGCTTGCTGGCAGTGGACAAGGACTTCTAAGGAGGATGGGTTGGCGTTGGCCTATCAGTGGCCTTTCCCCACTAATGCAAAGCCTGAGACCCCTTTACCTGTCCCTCTAACCGCAGGCTGTCCCCTGCAGCCTGTCATGCCTGTAGCACCACCCTGGAGGTTTGCCTTTACCAGATCCCTCCTCCTGGGGAAATGCACATGCGCAGGAGGGACCAGCATGCACTGGGGTTCGTCGGGGCTCCCTCTCCACTGGAATTGCTGGAGAGGATGGCGCTGACCCGCTCCCCTCACCCCTTCCCCAGGGACACTCAGCACTAGAACTTCAAACGGACTGTGGTTCCCTTCCTTCCATGTTATGACCAAACTTCAGAGCCTAACGAATGCCCTATTCCAGTCACACACAGCCTCCGAGACCTGCAACCTGACTGCCTTCAGTCCTCAGTCTCTGATCTCTTTCCTGGCCCAAGGGCAGGGACCCCGAAAGACGAGGTCCTTCCTTGCAGCCAGCGTCATGGAACTGGGAACTTGGAACCTGGCAACAGTTTTGCGCAATAGCTTTCAATGGATTCCTGTCACAGAGCAGCCAGGAGAGAGCCAGGTTCCAAATACATGAGACAGGGAACTAGAAGGCAGAGACAGGAGGACTTAGAGTGTGCACAGGAATGGATAGAAGACAGCTTGTGGGATTCCTTCAACCCAGGAGTGCGTGGCATAGGCTGTCCCCTCTGTGTTTTATGTGTCTCCTGTGGCTGCCCTGGGGCCCAGAGGATACAGCCCAAAAGGGACTGCCTGATCTCCTGTGCCATCTTGCTTTGTACCTGGCAAAATCTTCAAGAAGGGAATTCCCATGCTGCTTGTCACAAGTTCAGAACTTCTAATCAGTTCTCTTGGTGTACTGCTAATAGGACATCCATAGGCATAGAAAGCCTTTTCTTGGCTGGGAAACTCTGCGGACTACAGGATAAGCCTTCCGAGAACCTGAGATAAAAATGGGTTGTCTGTCTCCTCTGCTGAATAGTATGAGAGACCAGAAGAGAGAAGAGGGGCTGTAAATCTCCTTTGTCTGTTTTGGGAAAGAAGTGCCTCACTTGGTTTATCGATAATCATGAAGGGTAAAGCTGGAAGGACCTCCAGGACACGGATTTGCTAACTGTCTCTAGAACCTCAGGGTCCAGGGAGGTCCTCAGGGGGTCATTACGCAGGTAAGTGAAGGGTCAGGTTCACCAGGGCACCTCCTCCCCAACTTCAGAGAAGCTCTGCTTTCATCTGTCTATGTATTAGGGTGTGCTGGAATGGTGTCATGGTTAAAGAAACGCTTGGAAGCTTGTGAGACCGGCCAATGCCTTATTTCACAGGGAAAACAAAACAAAAACAAGCCTCAGAAAGGCTGAATGGCATGTCCAGAGAAAGTGAATGGCTAAATCAAGATAACAGCCTGAATCCTTGTTCACTCAACATTCATTCAGAAAATAGTTACTTAACACGGCTAGGTGCAAGATGTTTTGCTTGGTAATGAAGAACGGCTGTAATAAGACAGACATGGTTACTGCACTCCAAGGAGTTTAGGATGTAGTGGAACTGAAGATTTGGTTCTGTGAATGCTACCTTAGCATACGTTGTTTACTGATGCTCAAAAAAAGAAAAAAAAACAATGAAATGCAGCACAGTAATATAGCTTTCCATAATGATTCAGTCAGTACTTCTAGATCTGGGCAGATGTTTTTTCATTCTTGTTCTAGAAAGATAGTATTGTTGATACACTTCTAGGCTGACTGAGCACTTTGCATTCCATGTCTTCTGGGGGCTAATGAGAAGTCATTTGTTAGTGTCATTGCCATCCCTTTGTAGGTGATACGCCTTTTGTCTTGGGCTGCTTTTAAGGTCTTCGCTTTGCCCTTGGTATTCTACTGTTTCACTGCAGTGTATCTAGAGGTGTGTTTCATTTTATTGATCCTACTTGGGATTATTAATTTACTTATTTTATCAACTCTGGAAAATTTTTAGCCATCTACTCATCTTTGTTTTCCATCTTCTCTCTTTTGGGAGTTTGCTTGGCTGCATGTTAGACCTGCTCATCCTATACTCCATGTCTTGTATTTCTCTTCTATATTTTCTATCTTCTCAGCCCATTGGGCATCATTCTTAGTAATTTCCCTAATTCCATTTTCTAGTTTCTTAATTCTCTATTTGTGATTAATCTATTATTTACTTCCTCTACATTGAATATTTTAATAATCATGTTTCGCTTCTGAAAGTTCTATTCTTTTTCAAATCTGCTGGTTCATTTCTAATAGTATCTTTCTGGTCAATTATTATTATTATTATTATTTTGAGACAGAGTTTCGCTCTTGTTGCCCAAGCTGGAGTGCAATGGTACTATCTCGGCTCACCGCAACCTCTGCCTACCGGGTTCAAGCGACTCTCCTGCCTCAGCCTCCCAAGTAGCTGGGATTACAGGCACCTGCCACCACGCCCAGATAATTTTGTATTTTCAGTAGAGACAGGGTTTCTCCATGTTGGTCAGGCTGGTCTAGAACTCCTGATCTCAGGTGATCCACCCACCTTGGTCTCCCAAAGTACTGGGATTACAGGAGGTGGGTGAGCCACCTTGCCCAGCCTCTGGTGAATTACTTTTAAAAAACATTTCTTTCATTGTTATTTTTTGTCTTATGTCTGGAAATTCTGAAATCTAAAGTCCTTAAAGGTCTAAATCTTGTTTGTTTTTTCCACTGTCTTTAACTTCTCTTTTCTGGTATGTTCATGGTCTTAGACGATGAGCTCCATTTGCTTCATCCTAATCTGTGCTAATCCTGAGGGCCTACTTTAGGGATACTCTCCTCCAAAGAGGATTTACAATTGCTTCTGCCTGAGCTGGGAGCATTGCCATCCATCCCCCCTCTCTAGAAGGGACCAGTACTAGCCTCCTTTCGTGTTGGAGGTGAGTGCCTGAGGTTCAGCCGCCTCACCTTGTCCTGTTCCAAGGCTCGATCTCTTCATCGACTGCCAATATGGCGTTTGTCTTCCAGGCCACTCCGCCATTCATATTTGCTTACCACTCCGTATTTCCACCTCTGGTTTCAGCTCATGGTTTTGCTTTAGTTTGCTGAGGTATGGGATAGGCAGATAGTCTTTTCTGATTTCCCTGACATTTTGCAGATTCATGCTGCATTGAAAAGTATTTTTTTTCCAGGACCTCATTGTTACTGAGTGGGTTGGCCTTATGAAGATGTAGTCTGCCATAAACCTGGAGGGAGAAGACCTCATTCAGTTGAAAGAATCCTGTTTGTGGACTCCCTATGCTTCTGTTTTTTGTCCTGATGCCTTCAGGTTTAAAATCCTGTCATCATCTTCCTTGAGAGATCTGACGGGCGTAATACCTGAAGAAAGAAATGGATGAGAATCTGAAGTAAAGCTTTGTCTTCTCAGAGAACATTTCTGGATTTTCTGTTGCTAAAGGAGGCTGTGGCCTGGCTCTGTTTAATCCTGTCTGTCTCTGTCTGTTTGCTTTTATCCCCTCACATGTCGATAAAAGTCTTCACTTTTTTGGTGACAGTTCCAGTCTTTTATCTTTGAATAGCACTTTATAGATTGCAAAAGACTCACCCACACACACACACAGACTCGCCTGATCTTACCTGATCTCAGCAGCCCTCTGAACAAGCATTGTTGTCCCCATTTCAGAAGAGGTGCAGAAAGATCACACTTGAGTTACTTAAGGACCTAACAAGTCTGTTCATCAGGACCTTCACACCTACCTCCTGACTCCGAGTCCACTGCTTTTCTCCACTAAACCTGCTGTCCCTTGAGAGAAAGTAAAACAATAATTCATCCATTTAATCATCTAGCCTTTATTGATCACCTGTTATATACCAGGCACTGTCCAGGTATAAGGATATCTCTGACAACAAAGTCCTTGCCCTTACTGCACTGTAGTTGGTGGCAGATCATAAATAAACAAGCAACCATATAATGTCAAAGAGTGATCATTGCCATGATGAAAATAGATAAATGGGGCTCTAGGGGAGTATGGGGCTGGGTGAATGAAATGAAGCATGGAGCCCTGGGAAGAACTGTGTGGAAAGCACCCAGGTGGAAGAAAAGCCCAAGGCGAGACAGAACTTGGCGTGTTCTGAGATGGTTGAAGGGCCCTGTAAGTACAGCAGCCCCAGCGAGGTGGAGTGATGGGAGGCGCAGTGGAAGAGGTGGCTGGAAACATGGTAGGGAGGATCTTAGAAAAAAGTCTGAGTAAGGAGGTCTGACCCTTGGAAGTTTGCTTCCTCCTCAAACACAAAGAACCTATGTGCTGGCCAACCCTGAGTATTAACAGCTCTCTTACTTGTCTCTTTCACAGGCTTACAGGTTTTCCCAGCTTCCTGAGATGGTCATGGGCTCACCGCCGCCACCCGTACCTCCTCGGACTGGTCCTGTGGCTGTCGCTTCTCTCAGGCGGTAACACATTCCTTTCTTTGCTTTGTTTGGAGTATTTGGAAAAGAGTCGGTCCTGTGTACCCTGACCTAACAATAGCACCAGCAAACTTCCTTCATGCTCTGCCCATTCAAGGTGTGTCACCTGTACAGACAACCACATGCCTGTGGCGCCCCGAGCACCATGAATCAACAGATCAAGGTGCTTTTGTGCTTTTTAATCAGAAAGTTCTTGAGATCCCACAGTTGAAGAAGCCCAAGGTCAACTGCCCCATACCTGGGAAGCCCTAGACCCTGACCTTGAACATCTAAAAATGACTCCAGCTCCACGGCTGCTACCAGAAGTCGCTTGGTTATTGAGGGGTGGTGTCTGAGAAGCCAGGGAGGGGCAGTCATGTCTGAGCACCCACCCCAACTCTTGACTTCCAAGAGGGAGAGACAGGAAGCGTATGAAATCAGGTATCTCCGTTGCAATGCATATGTTAAGCATGTTCTTTGCTCTGTGAAAATATAACAAGTGCGTGTTTTTACTAGGGACGGGCATGAAAGACAAAAGCCCTGAGCACTGGGAAAGGCTAGATCTGTGCCTGGGGGTACACATGGACCACTGTCCTGGCCTTCCTACTCCAGCCTCCTCCAACACACAAATCACACCTGTCTGTGAACCATGGGTCTGGGCTTTAGTGAATGGGAAAGAAAAATAGGAGTTTCCCTCAGGAGAGACCCTGCTCTCATTGCCCGTGGTTTAGATGTCACCTCTTGCCACCAGTCAAGCCTGGTGGAAATCAGCAGACCCTGACCTGCTGTGCAGCCCCAGCAAGTGGCCTCGCCTCTCCAGCCCCTGTCTCTGTCTGTACATGAGCACAGTGGCCTAGGTGATCTCAAAAGTTCTGGGATTCCCCTGAAAGGGGTCTCAGGATTGCTTATGGGGCAGAACTCAGAAATTTTCCCAGGAAGGGTTTTTTGAACAAGTAGCAGATGCCTGGAACATCGTGTGGGAAACCAGGGCTATGGGAACAAGCAGGCAGAGAGGGAGGGAGGAAGGGAGAAAGGAAGAAAGGAAGGGAGACCCCACCCTGATGAATGGCCACATCATACAGTCTCCACACTGGACCCTCCTAGGAGAATAGCAGGGGGCTTCTCAGTTACTCCGAGAGTCCTGGATTGGAGGGGCCTCATACCAGCCATTTGTGGGAGGTTTACTGAAGGCCAGCATCAATTTCTTATTTCTTCTTCCACCACCTGTCTCCTCCCAGCCACTTCCACACCATTTGCTATCTTGCCACATATCAGGGGGGCACTGCCCTTTATATAAACTCAGGATTAGACAAGGAAGGAACCTTTGAGATGAGTTTGTCTACCCCTTTTGTTGTACAGATGAGGAAACAGGCCTGGAAAGGGAAGGTAGGCTGGGCACGGTGGCTCATGCCTGTAATCCCAGCACCTTGGGAGGCTGAGGGGGGTGGATCATTTGAGGCCAGGAGTTCAAGACCAGCCTGGACAATATGGTGAAACCCCATCTCTACCAAAAATACAAAAATTAGGTGGATGTAGTGGCACACACCTGTAATCCCAGCTACTTGGGAGGCTGAGGTGGAAGAATCACTTGAACCGAGGAGGCAGAGGTTGCAGTGAGCTGAGATCGTGCTATTGCACTCTAGCCTGGGTGACAGAGTGAAACCTTGTCTCAAAATAAATAAATAAAATTAATGAAGGGGAAGGTAGTTGGAACCCAGATTTTTGCCTTCCATCCTCTCCCTTACTGTGGCTGTCATTTGCTCTGTGATAGCCACTGCTCTGCTCAGAGGGTGACCCTGTGGGGGGCCAGACCTGCTGCAGCTGTCTTTGCCTGTTTCCCACTGGGCTAATTTTAGGGGAGCCTGAAGTCCCTCTGCGAAACTGCCTCAGGCAAGGGGTGATGCTGGTGAGGGAGAATGGTCTGTGGCTGAAGGACCCTTTGGAGACCCAGGAGATGTCCGCGTCTGCAGAGCTCAGGCTGCCCTCTTCTTTCCCGGCTGTCTGAGCACCAAGTGGAAATTGGGATGTGTTAAATAGGCTTGATTGTCTGGTTGCCCAGGGACCAAACACAGTTCTGTCAGTCAGAATGCCCACTGCTCTCTGGAGCAGCCCAGCTTCCCAGTCTTAGGCTTGGCGCTTCCTGCCAGTTAGGAACAGGGACTGTAGCTCCCAGCTGTCCTGGGTGTGAGAAGGGAGCAACCACACTCCAGACAGAGCCTTCCCATTGGCTGCTGCTGATGTCATCACCTCCTGGGTGGACTGTCCCTAGCTAATACCCAGGACTAATTGCTTTTCTTCTTTTATGTGGAAATTAAATATTCTACCACCCAGAGACACGAGAGCCACCCTTAAGAGAGAACTGACCTTGAACATCTGAAAATGATTCCAGCTCAGGCCATGACAGCTGCTACAAGTCTAGGTGTCCCTGCCCTGCTGATGCCCCTAGAAGGCCCTTTGTCTTCTGGGGATGAATCCAGTCCTGGGGGTCCCACCCTCATGAAGCTTGGAGGCAGCTGTCCACACCCAAAGGTGACAGGGCACTCTCCTCCTGCCTGGGCTGCCACGTGAGGTCTGGGACAGCGCTAACGCAATCCCTCTGCCCCATCTAGATCCACCTCAGACATCGGCAGCAAGACCAGAATGTCCGAGTCGGCGGGGCCCGAGCCCACCCAGCTGCACGACAGTGCCTCCTTCACGCAGATGTCCAGAGGCCCTGTGTCCGTGGCACAGTTGGATCAGTCGGCTTTAAATTACTCAGGTGGGCAAAATGGGAAAAGCCCAAGTGTGCCCCCCACCCCTACTGCTGTGTCCTGTCCTCCCACAGGCCCCACATCCAATCTCCTTTCCAGCCACCCCGCAGGAATCACAGCCACTGCATTTCTGGATCCCTTCATATCTTCAGGAGCCCCAGCTAAAAGAGCTACTGGTTTTTTTCTTTAAAAGATCTGAAATCGGGCAAGATACCAAGTTATGCTAAAGTCAGCATGGATCTTAACATTTTGCCAGACTTCAGTTCAAGTGTTTTTGGTTGTATCTTTAAAGCATTCCAGATATGCCCATCCACCCCCTTCTCATTCCCCTTCTCCCAAAAGGTAATCCCAGGCCTCAAGTGATAGGTTTTAATCCTTTGCCACATAATATATATATAAAACAGTATACATTAACGTTTACTGTATTTTAAATGTACATAAATGATATCATGGCATACATTTCCTTTTGTACTTTCTCTATTTAACATTGTTTTAACAATTTCTCCAGGTTGCTATACACATACTATATTGATCTAGTTCATTCATTTAAACTGCCATGTGGTATTCTATGATAAGCCACAGTTTGTTTTTCCCTATTGATGGACAGAATGGTAGTTTCCAGTTTTTGCTATAACAAGACAATGCTGAAATGAACATTGAGGTTTGTACATGATTTAATTGGTTTCTTAGTTTATTTAAACCATACCTTTTAGGCTAAAACTGCAAGCACCCAATTGCCAACATTTACTGAAGCATTCGTGGTGTCTAGAAATTCCACCGGTGAAGTCCATTTCTTTTGGTTCTTTTTCCTGGCTCTTTAAAAATACACATTCTCTTGGGAGGAAAACACCTGGACACCACGGGGTTACTTCCTTTTGCTGGCAGGTCAGGGGTGTTGTTATGGTGGGACGAGTTGGACCATCACTTCTCTAGAAAGCCAGGTCTGAGTCCCAGCAGATGATGCCCTCGTTCTGACTGCGAGGGTGAGCGAGGCTGCGTGGCAAGGGAGGTGTGCTGCTCCTCTCATCCCTGGAGACCTTTGTCCTCTCATCCCCTAGCCAGAGCCAATGCCAGAGTCCTCCTCTGCTTCCCTAGCTTCCCCAGGCCTGGGCAGATGCAGGCCTAGTGGGTGGGGTGCTGGCTGGGCCCACAACTCCCTCTTCAGGCGATGAGAAGAAGGCAAAAGTCCAGAGCACTACTGCTGGATTTGGTGAATTTAGAAAAAGGCTTTCCTTCCCCAGGTGAGTACAGACTCCATCTATGACGAAGGGACCACTGGCTGGACTTCAGCCCCACTTGGCCTCTAGGCCAGATGCCCTTGAGCAGTACACCACCTCCCCAGCTGCGACAGTGGCTCTAGAAGAGGTCCAGAAAGAAAGACCAGATTTCCTCTGCCACAACCCACCCGCCTCTGTTGCTACATCACCTGGGATCTTAGCCAGCATGGCCGGGTCCACTGCACCTTAAATGCAACTAAATTCCCCAGCAAATGTCACAGCCCAGAGCAAGCTTCCCTCAGCTCAGACCTGCTTTCATGAGGCTTCAAATCCAGCAGCCAGCCAGGGAGCCAATGAAACTGACTTTATTTGGCTCTTGGGTGGCTGGGTCCCCCACACCAGCCTCTCTTAACCCACCTCCTCCATTTCCTCCATGCCAGGTAATACGGTGCCGGCGGTGTTCGCCATCCCAGCTGCCAACAGACCTGGCTTCACCGGCTACTTCATTCCGACGCCTCCCTCCTCCTACAGGAGCCAGGCCTGGATGTCCTATGCAGGAGAGAATGAGCTCCCGAGCCAGTGGGCAGATTCGGTGAGACCCTTGCTCTTTCCCTCATAAACCTTCACCTGCGTAACACACACCAAGGAGTAAATGGGATAAAAGGTTGAGGCTGAGGGATTTGTTATCTCAGCCTCCCTCCCAGTAACCGGATGACCAAAGTCAGCCATTTTAAAGGAGATAGTGTGGTGAGAGGGGATGTCCCCTTGACAGACCAGCTTGAGACCTGCCTTCTAGTCCAGCTTCCACCTCTTCCTAGCGAGACAACCTTAGTCAAGTAAATTTTTATAATAATATCTACCATTTTCTATCTACCAGACACCTTGTCAGATGTTTTGTTTATATTATTACGTCTTTCTTACAGTCTTATCAGGTAGGTTTTTATCATTCCCATGAGTACTCCCATTTTGCAGATGAGGTCACGCAGCTAGTAAGGAAGTGCCAAGGACAGAATTCAAACCCGTACCTGTCTGACTCCAAAGCTTTTATTAAATTTGTTTCTTTTAGCACAAAATTCTGTAAAATTTTAGAAGAAATGTCAGAAAATGAAGCTAGGCTGGGTGCGGTGGCTCACGCCTGTAATCTCAGCACTTTGGGAGGCAGAGGCGGGAGGGTCACCTGAGATCGGGAGTTTGAGAACAGCCTGGCCAAGATGGTGAAACCATTTCTCTACTAAAAACACAAAAATTAGCCAGATGTGGTGGCAGGTGCCTGTAATCCTAGCTACTCAGGAAGCTGAAGCAGGAGAATCGCTTAAACCCAGGAGGCAGAGGTTGCAGTGAGCCAAGATCACGCCACTGCACTCCAGCCTGGGCAATAGAGTGAGACTCTGTCTCAAAAAAAAAAAAAAGAAAACCCAAGACCGAATTACTACATTACTACATATATTAATTTTCCAGATGACCAAAGCTTACCCCTTTAATTTCCAAAACATTAAAAAATATATGTAGCTTGGCATAAAAATATTTCTGAAATGAATGCTATCTTCCCTCTTCTCCTTTAAACGAATATACAACGTAATTTGCCTTTCATGAATGATTCAGTATCCTTATGATGCCTCATTATACTCAAATGGCATTTGTAGGATGAGCTCTCATGGCTTGTAGGATTATTGCCCTTATATTGTCGAATATCTCCCAACTACTATAATTTTTTGAGTTACTATTATGGCTCAATATTTTTTTTCCGACCTTGCTTCCAGCAGGGACTCCAGCAGGCCCTCGATATTACTGTCAATGTCCCCACATCTAGCAATATGCTCACCCTTAAGTGTGCTTTGCATCATGTGCCATTATCTGCAAATGAGGCTTATCTGCAATCATTAGAATTGTTTGTAAACTTGGAGTAAATAAGCTCTAAGAGAGGAACTAGAGGGATTCCCTGCTGTTCAGTCTGTGAATCTGAACGTGGGACTGCGTGGCATCTGTTTTTATTGTTTGGGGGCCTTTTTTGTGTTGTCATTCTCTGCTATTCCATATAGCCAATATCACTGGATATAATTTGATCATTCAGAGGTATTGATTTTGTAATCCCACTTCATCTGAAAGTTATCTAGACTTTTCAGAAAGTAGACGATGTTTCACTTGAACTACTTAGGCAGTAAGCCTGCAGCTGTGTGGAGTATAACACTGGGCACCAACTGGAGCTGGTAGAAGTATTTTCCAAAACCTTGACCCCTGTGTTCAAGATGCTTACAGATGATCAAATGATCATAAAGCCAGGCTTATAGCTACATCTAGACATGTCTGGGTTCACAATTGCCTTAAAGATGAAGGTAAAGGAACCAAGCAAATGGAAACGTAACCTTCCTGCCACGACGACTGGACTGGCTCTTTCTGGGCTCACCTCCCACAGTGTGAAGGAGAACCAGTGTCCTATTAGTTATTTTTAATTAAGAGGAAGATGATTGCTGCAGCCTAATTGGGTCTTTCCTGGAGCCCAATTATCACCTGCAATTAAGCAGGGAGGCGTGCGCATGAAAGGAGCAAGGTGAAAGGGGTGATTTATAGCTCATGAAAGTAAGTCCAGGAAGCTCAGAGAGGCCAGTTGTCAGCTTGAGAAGGGTCCAGGAATCATGCACACCTTCCCCATCTATGTGAGAAAGAAAAGTCCCCCGCCAGCATTTGGATTTCAGACCTTCCTGATCCCAGGAGCTAGCTTGGATAAAATCACCTGGACCTGGGATGACAAATAGGTTTTATCTTTGGTGCCAGATGGAGAAGGATTGAGAGGGGCTTCCAGGCTCAGCAGGAAACTGCTGTGATCCAGTTGGTGATGTCTGCCACGGGCACTGGCTAGGGAAGTAGTATTATGTGCCAGCCCTGAATTTTGGCGGGAAAGGCATGATGGCTCCAGCCTGCATCTAATATAAGGGATGAAGAGTTTCTCATCTCATCTTCCCTGCTTCTGCCCTACTGCTGAATATTGCCCTGAGGATACTCCAGTGGGATCAAGTATCCCTTGCCTGTTCCGGCCACCAGCACCACAGAGCAGAGGGGTCTCAAGAGTTGGACGTTGACTACTCTTTCAGCCACAGCAAGTACAGTTAGCTGAATTTGAAATGCAGGGAAAGGGAAGGTGGTAGCTTCCTTCTCAGATATTTGCCCCAGCTGATCATTCTTCAGAGATTTTCAAACTATGCTTCACAGAAGCCCAGGTTCTGAGACTCCCTGCTCTTGCTCTACACAATACTGAGCACTGGTGTTCAGCAATAAGCAAGTGAGTCACTTTCCACCTTCATGGAGTTGACGGCCTGAGACAGGCAGTGGCATCACAGCTGTAACTGTTATGCTGGAGAAACTGCAAGGAAACATCTAATAGGCTAATGTCGGGCTGGGAAAGGTCTCCTGGAAGACAGGAGGTTTGAGCTGAGATCTGAAATATGCACCCCATGTCCTGGTCTTGGTTCTTTGGCGACCCCAATAACCTGTACCTTCCCAGATCATGTGCCCAAAGGACTCAGACAGCCCATCTCTGGTTTTCCTCTAAGATACAAACGAAACATATTAGTCCTTTTATATAAAGACCCACCCTCAGCACCTGTGTGCTGTTTTATCTTTCTTTGCTGGGTCTTGTGGGGAAATCACAGTCCCAAGTTGTAACTTGGGACATTTATCCCATTACTTCTTCCCTGGCTTGGGTCCTCGTTGGTTCTTTTTTTTTTTTTTTTTTTGCTAGATGTAACCCCAGTTTGCAGATACCTCATTGGTTCTCATCCGACCCATTGAGGAAGCCTCAGAACTTGTCTGCTCCCTACCTCTAGTGGGTCCACCTCCAGGTGACCTTTCCAAATATAGACTCCTGCTCTGCCTGACACCCATACATGGCTCCCAGCCCAGGCGTCAGCCACACATCTCAGAAACCTGCCTTCTCAAGAGGGATCACCAGAACATCCAGCAGGGAGGAGGCGGGGCTGCTTTCCTACCACACATTCCCCCATCTAGAGTTTCTGAGTCATCACACCACTCCATTGGTATGGTCTGAATGTTTGTGTCCCACTCGATTTATTTGGTGAAATCCTAACCCGCAAGGTGATGGTATTAGGACCTGGGAGCTTTGGGAGGCAATTAGGTCATGAGGGCAAACCCCCTAATGAATGAATCCCATGATTAGTGCCCTTAGAAAAGAGGTCTGAGATCCCTTTCCTCTCCTGCCACGTGAAGTGATAGGGAAAAGACAGCTGTCTCTGAACCAGGAAGCAGGACTTCACCAGATACAGAATCTGCCAGCACTTTGGTCTTGGACTTTCCAGCCTCCAGAACTGTGAGAAATAAATTTTTGTTGTTTATAAGCTCTGCAGCTTATGGTATTTTGGCATAGCAGCCAGAACAGACTAGGACTTCCTTCTCCGTCCTCACTCAGGAGCCAGATGAGCTGCCCAGTCCTTCCACACATACTTCGTTCACCATAGCACCCTGTGCCTCTGTTGTCCATGAGTGCTTATTCTGTAGCATTCCAACTAACATCATGGGGTATGAAGGTCTTTTGTGGACTACTCTGGAACAGCATCTCTGTATGTGCCACTGTTTCTGTGGGAGAATTGACTCTAAATTCAAAATTACTGACTTGTCCTTATTCCTGGAAGTTTACATATTTTAAGCATAGAACTCTGTGTCTTCCACTTTTGGTGAAGAGAGAAAAATTTTTCAAGAAACCAAAATCATATCCCAGATTCAAGACACTGTAATGCAGTAATTCCAGCTCTTAGAGCCAGGCTGACCTCTGCAGAGCATGTCTTGGTAGCTTGTCACCTTAGACTGTGGCACTCTTCAGTTTCCTCATCTGCACAGTTAAGGATAACAACACCTACCCCCTAGGTTATTGCTTTGAGAACTAAATGAGATAATGTTTGGAAAATCCTTAGTACAGGGATCAATCAATATTAGTTATTATTATTAATAATAAACCCCTCGGTTCCTCTGGGGTCCATAAACAGTTCTGTTTGCTGGATTGTGCTTATATGAATAAGGTAACCAAGAGCTGGGCATAGTGGTACCCACCTGTAGTCCCAGCTACTCAGGAGGATAAGGCAGGAGGATCACTTGAGCCCCAGAGTTTGAGACTGCAGTGAGCTATGACTGTACCACTGCACTTCCAGCCTGGATGGCAGAGTGAGACATCATCTCTAAAAATAGTAATAGTAATAAAAATAAGGTAGCCAGGTAGATTCAAGTATAGACTCAGATGTATATATTCCTAAGGTTTCCAGCAACATTTAAAAACACCTGTTTAGGGGCACCAAGATGGCCAACAGGAGGCAACACCAGAAGGCAGCTCCCACCAAATGAGACGCAGCAGGCCAGAGGACTTCACAATTCCAAGTGAGGTGCCAGGTTCATTGCGGTGGAACTGGTAGGATTCTGAAAATAGCCCAGGGAAGGCAAGCCAAGAAGCAGGGCGAGTGCAGCCCAGGGAGAGCGAACCAAGACACCTAGAAAGAGTGGCCGGCTTGGAGGGTCTCGGACTTCACCCCCTCAGTCCTCTGATTCGGATCCTGTGGTTCCCTCATCCCTCCTGCAACCCACAAGAGCCCC